CGTAGCACGGAACCTAACTTGGCAATAGCTGCGCTACTCGCCAGTACTATCTGCACAGCCAGTAACCTAAAGCAGCTGGTAGGGAAAAAAACACACCAATACAAACAACGTGATACAGTTTCTGGTCTCATTCTCTGACTAATTTTCTCAGCATTTCAGAATATACTGTGAAGTCCTTTTTCTTTATAGTAGGAGGGGTTTGTAATAGGAGCTGCCTTGCTTTTGTGCTCAACACTTTTTCTGTAAGTGCTTACAAAATATTGCAAAGTGACAGAAACTGCTCAAGTTCTACAAAGCATTTCTCCCATTTCAAGCCCACCTATCATTTTATGGGGAAGTACTGCACAACTCTGCTGAAAAACAGTGTTAATGCAGTTTACTGTAAAGCTTTTAAAACAGTGTCCCAAACACTTCCCTAGCCAGGACAAGCCTTTCAGGATGCCTCCTGCCCCACCTTTCACCAGCTTCACTTGGGACCACAGAGAGGGACAAACCCTCTAAAATCGGAATCTTTTCTCTAGTGATGGGTGAGTCGATCCAGTAACGACTAAAACGTTGGAAGCCGTTTGCTCCAGCAAACACTATTAAAAAATCACCACTATAAACCAAGTCTCAGTATGCAGCAAAGTTTTTATAGGTGAGGAGAAACGATGGGATTTACAATTCAAACACTGAGTGAACCTTAAATATAGTGATCCAAGTGGGAGCTATTTTGTTCAAATATACTTTTTTCAGACTCTAAGTGCTTAAAATTACAGAAATAAACACCAGGAAAACAGCATGGTCCATCTTCACTCAGGGCTTGTCTTCACTGCACAAGTTACTTTTGAGTTAGTGTTCTCAGCATAGCCTCTTGGAGCTAGATTTGAGTGAAAGATCACATTTCAGAATAACTCCTGACTTTCAGAATACGTCTGCAGAGTCTCCTGCAGGCAAACCTGAGACGGCTCTGCCACGTGCCCAGCTGCCGGGCAGCACGGCAGGCAGCTGAATCATTCTGCCAGCAGCACAGCTGGATTAGAAGTCTATTGTCCTCTTCAGCTCTGCTAGTTTAACTGCTCAGTGATGGCTCTGTAGCCTGGTTCTGTGATAGGTGCTGGTTGATAGCAGAGCTCCTTTCAGATACTCCTAAAATAGTTCATCTGACTATGCTATGGGCTCAGGGCTTCAAATTAAATCCCCACGGCGTATCATTAGCTTAAGCATCAGCAGCACTGCAGTTTTAGTGCAAACTTTTCCTGCTACTGAAAGAGAATTTTTGAAACATCACTAATCTAAGGCTGAGGCCGTTCATGTGTAGCAAGAGATCACACTGGGAATGAAATGTGAGTTTAACTCAGAATTTAACCATGCAGGAGCACCTGCCATTCAGCTAATAGTCCTGAAACAAGCTTCCCACAACATAATGGATTCTGAATTGCTCTGCACCTTTGAGTAGCCAGTTTGCCTGTGCAAAGCAAAACAACTGCTATCTGCGCTGCAGAGAAACCACACAGCAGTGGTGCTCTGGGCTTTGCTCAGGTGCAATAGATGGGACATGGCATTATAAGAACTTGTCATGTTCATCTGGGACAGCACACAGAGCTTTGAGAAAATGCTATCAAACTTTTACCAAGTTATCTTTGGTGTTATTTATGTCTGACCTGAAAATGGCTATGATGAATAAAAACATATATAGGTTTTACATATCCTTAATTTGCAACACTTGTCCATAGATTTTAGTTTGTGGTGATATGAATGATCTCCTAAGCATTGTTTCTTCATTCATGAGTGAAAGATCCCATGCAAACTAGTTTTGTTGTGCTGTAACATTAAGCAAGTTGTTGAGAGAGGTACCAAATGAATGTTTGTTTAGCTAGAGAATAACAGCTACTATTGCAAACTAATTACTGCTTTGCCTGGCTGACATCTGCAGCAATGCCTTCAGCGTGCTCATTCAATGCAGCGCAATAATGTATTCCTAAACCAAAAGGTTAAAAAGACCTGTGTTGCCAGGATGCCATCTAAATGAGTTGTTCACTTGAGATAGTTTCAAAAAAGTAAAGCTCATGGAGGTGATGAAGCAGCAAATAGAGAGGAAAAGTGTTGAATCACTAGCCGTGGTCTGTGCTTCCTTCTATTTTTTATTTTACTTTTCATTTTGAAGGAAGGTAGGAGTATGCATTTGAGGGCAGACTTTATTCATGCACAATACTGATCTTTACCTAAAATCTTTTTATTTGTCTCTATGTTGTACATTTAGTTGTGGTTATACTCAGCCTAGTAACACTGGCATACATTTACTGATGCTGCTCCTTAAATGGCTTCACATGCTTTAAAAATGCCATTGTCCCTTGCACAGTATTCGATGTTACATGCTGTGTAACTTTTTACTATTGAGCTTCTCTAAAATGGCTCCAGTTAAACGTCTCAGGACTTTGGTTCAGTTAGAAGTCTACCAACAACAGCAAAACAGTAAAGAATATTGACCTTTAGTAAAGAGTATTATCAAAACAAGAAAGCTCTTTTTTTTTTTTTGTATGAAATGTGATTAAATTTTTTTTGACCATTTTTGGGCATTTAGGAACAACATTTAAGTTCAAGAGCAACAGATTTAAGTTTGGAGGTCTGGATGTACGAGCAACTCTAACAGTTGCTGCTGTACTAGTGACTGAAACTTGCTACGACACTTCCTTAGACTGTAAATGAAGCTTTGCCTGGTGTCGGGACACGGATTGCGCGTTTGGTTTGGAGAATGTGCAATACGGACAGCATATATAGTACATTCCATTAGCTTCACACAACCCAGGTGGATCCTGATACAGCACCTCCACAGAAATAAGGGCACCGAAGGTTCTCCTGTGTTTGAGGAGCAAAGAATTAAACTCTTTAATTAACTGCAGCATTAAGATGCCTATTGCGTCACCTGAACTTACAACAATTAGTCACAGGAGGCGAAGGGGAAGGCTTTCAAATTGGTTCCAGGCAGAATAATAATGTTCTGCCCTGACAACAGCTTTCTGGTAAAGCTGGTACACCACTTTTCGCAGAGTTCCACTGATACAGCGATGCTACTTGCCTGTTAAGAAGCTGCTCAATATGGCCTCAGCACACACCACCTGAGCTTAGTCACACTTTCTTTGTTCAATACTTTTTCTGTTTCCTGCATATGTCTGGTGTGTAAGGGTAATTAGCGAGGGCTGCTCCTAACAAAGACGAAACAGGCAACCCCTACTGTAATCTGCTTTGCCTTTTGACATTCTTTATTAACGAAGCAGCCACTGGGAAGAGTCTGGCAGAAGGATACGCTAGGGAAACAGTTTGATTGACTGTGGTAATACGGAATACGTTAAAAAAGTACCTGTGAAAACTTCTGTTGCAGAAAGTTTGAGGCTATGATTCTCTTTGCTTTAAAGGTATCTTAGCACAACTGGCTATTTCATACTAATCAAATATATTTACCAGTGTTGTTTTAACTGTATAGTACTAAGCTGTGGTTTGTTTTTTTCTTCTTCCTCTCAGGATGAAAAGAATCAAGTATTAACAACAAACATCTGGCTACAAATGGTGAGTTTTGAAACAAAGCATGTTATTTTTCCCCTTTGGTCTTTGAGTTTATCAGGCGAGGGGTTTGAATTTTAGGAAACTTTCAAGCTTTTGTTCTTTATCTTGCTACATAGTGGATAAAGCTAAGCTGAATGGAAAACTGTAACGCTGAGACTTAGGTCCTGATGTTGTTTCAGGTATTTCTGAAAACTTTTAGGAATTTGAATCACTACATCTAAGTAAGTTACTAACTCATTGTAGTGGATTTAGTCAGGCTAAACTTTCGATTGTTGTAAGATACCAGTGTCCTAAGTGTCCCAGGTAGATTAACTGTAGCTACAAGTGCCTTATCACTCATTTCAACAAATCCATTATGTTGTGGTAAATCATCTGATTCTGAAAGAGAAGTATACATGCAAGAAACGCGTGTCATCTGTAATAGCTGTTTTGATCAGCATTCTCAAAAATCACCAGATGGTTCTTCTGATACAGGGGAAATATTATTCCAAAAAGGTTCATTTTCTCCTGAAAGCTGCTGCCACTGTCTCTGCTATCCTACTTGCTTTGCTTTCTATCTCCTTAAGAAACTGCAATAGGATTTTAATTAAAATGGCCATGCTGTTCCCATGTTGTTCAAAATGTTGTTGTTTAAATATAGTTTATCATCAGAAGTTAACTGTGAACAAAGGAGGTTTTTTAATGTTACTTCTCCAAATTCTGTATTTCAGTTACATGACTAAAATGGGTATTGGAACATCAGTTCAGTTTCCTTACGTTCAGCTGGGAACAGTATACTTTTTCCTGATTTCCCAGATTGTTTTGCCAAAATAGGGTTTTCATTTTTCAAATGGTAGCTTTATTTTACCTTTTGTTGCAATGTTTAGTTGTCACAGAACTTCACATCCTCTCTTATTCCTTAACCATAACTATTGCCACCACTAGATACCACAGCAGAGAACTTTGTCCCCATTAACTCATGGTAGGCATTGCTGGGCAGGAGTAAGCTTCACTCGCTCTTTAATAAATGTAACAGATAATAAGAACTTTATAAGAGCATTTTGAATTTCTTTTCCCTGTAAGGTTAACTAGCGAGAGAGCTGCTCCTAAGCAAAGGAGCCTACACAGATTTATTCTGACTTGATTGGTTATTTTTTGCACAATATTTGCAAAATAGTTTAATACTAAAACTTAGAAGTAACAAGATGCTTCTTACCATGCTGTCTGCTGTGGGTTCCTAATGCTTCCACAAAACATTTCTACCATAAGCTTGTGCTTTGGAATGACAAGGTGATACGGGGAGCTTTCTCCATACTGTAGCAGCGAAGATAAGAATTTGGCATTAGTTTACCTCCCATTTGTATTACAGAAACTGAACTGTTTGTTTTAAGTAAAGGTTTACAGAAGAGTGTTATTATTCAAGATAAGCATGCTGCTTCCACAGAAACTTCACACCTTTCACTTTCTTTAACCAGCTCATTCAGTTTAAATGTATTATTTTTTCTTTTATACTAACATTTTTTGTAGAGCACCTCTCTTGCGCTGCGGCAGGCCTTAGGAAACAAATGAAAGGCTATTTTGATGATCTGCGAAGGATATGGCTATTCCATTTATTCATAAGGAAAAGTTGACATGGAAGAAGCATTCAGTTTATGTTATTTTACAGGCTTGTTGTACAATAACATTAAAACTGTCAAATATAGTATGTTTTTGGCTTTGAGCTACAATGACAATAGTTGCTATGATTTCTTACCAGGGAAACAGATGACAATTCATGCTCAAGAAGCTACCACTTATTTTCCTTCTCTTTTATCCCACAGCATCCTCATCCTTTTTGAGATTGTTTTTTTTTTTTTCTCCCCTAAGGAAATTCCTGATTCTTTTATATATTCTGTATTTCTTTTGATTTATTCACCACATACTTCATGTGGAGCATGTTAAGACTGCAATGAGCAGATCACTTGATTACTACAAAAAATGTAGCCACTCTTCATGGCTTTTGTACACATTAAAAAAAAATGTGTCTATTAATGGTATACTAGACAGATTCAAAGCATGCTTAAGGCAAACATATGTCACTTTATTATGCTAAATGGTCTGAAGTAAGTTTTTCCCTGAATTTCCCTCTCCAATCCCTTTCTTGATATATATGTGTGTATAATCAGAGATCTTAAACAGATTTTATCTAATCATCACTGAAATACTTAAATGCAGAAACTAACCTGGGAGAAAGAGGAATATAAATCTAGTATTTATACATACAGACTCTTTGATCCTGACCACTGTCTCCATGGCAATACTGTTCAGTACCAAAATCTTAAACTTGATCTAAGTTACAGCAGGAGCCTTGCCCAGTTGCACAGATTAACACTAACCCGAGCACTCTGAGCTGTTTGCTATTTCAATCCGCATCAAACGTACTTCAGCTACAGTGGAGATTGTAGCTCTAAAGTTGAAACAAAATGAGGCAGCTCGTGTCCAGCTGGATGGGTAAGCACTTTGTACACATGGATAAACAGAGCAACCGTACAATCTGCTTAACATTATGTCTAATACATACTTTAATAATAAATTGTCTATCACCTTTTGACTGTCTTTACATCATTCAGTGTCACCCTATGCTACATCGTACTGGTCATGATAAATCCTAGAAGAAGTTAGAATTAGAAACTATATATTATATTGATATAAATTATTGTAATGCAATTCAGATGGAAATGAGCAGGAGATCCTGCTGCACACAAGCAAGCCGGTGGGCAGTGACCTTTGCAGCAGCTGCCTGCAGCCTGCCAGCCCCTGCAGCCGCTGCTCAGAGAGTGACCTGTCCTGTCAGCTCCTGAAAATGAGTCGCCTAAAGCCAACGAGAGCCCACACGTTTAAACGCCTCAAAACCACACATCATATTTGTTTACATTGCTGGACTTGGTGAAAAATAGAGGTATCATAAGCATTTCAGTATTTCTACATTTCAAAAAGATGAAGTGGTAAAAAAATACAGTGACATTTGTCTATTGGGAAGTTCATGTAAAACAATTTACTGTGAAAATGGATGTAAAATTTCTGAAAAAAAAGATGAGAAGCAGTTGATAGCTTATATAGAAGTTGTGTGTAGATGAGCGTGAGGAATACATATAGTTTAATTAGAGAACCATGAATGGAGCAGGCAGTGAAAAGAAAAAAACATGAACAGAGCCAATCAGATATTCTGATTTAAGATTTCTGTAAAAAACTATTATCCTTAAAGAAAAAGAAAAAAGCAATGCACAATTCAGATCATTTGTCCAGGTGACAAGGCGCTACAAATTCATAGTAAAAAATGAATGAGATCAATATGGAAGCACAGGCCAAGAAACTGTATAGTAAAAGCTTTATAAAAGATGTGATGAATGCTACTAGATGTGTAGCATGCAGCAAAATGGTCACTTACAAACACTGTTCTAGATGTAGAAGAATGAATTTGAATACCTGCAGTGTGAGGCTAACTGGGGACTTGTTTGGTGTATCAAACAAACTGACCTGTGACAATCACACAAGGAATTACGTAGAGCAATTTGATGTGAATATCCCATGAGAATGACCAAAAACATTACCTCCACAGTACTCACTGAAAATTTTTTCTGACCTTAATGTCTGTCAAAGATTTTGACAAGGGTCACTAGATTGTTGAAGAGATAAGCATTGTGCATTTACTCATCCATTTAAAAGTTTACATTTAAAAGACTAACATTTAGCATTGCAACAGCATTGTAAATCTGTAGAAGTTTTCACTGCAAGTTATGTGATGCCTACAGCTATGTGAAATTAATGTAAATAACATGAGGACAGAGAGGCACAATATAATGAAGTCTAGAAATCATAAGAAAAAATAAATTTTGTGAAACAAAACAAACTTTATTTCTTATTTATAAGCTTGCTAGAGCTGCCACGGTACTCAGCTGCCTGCAGTTTGGGGCAGTGCTTTTCTTTATGACCGTGCACAACCATATGGTTCAATGACCGTATCCGGGATTTAGCAACGCTGATCACAGATCGAAGGTTTGACGGCGCCAGGCTCCCTGCCTATACTGGCAGTCAAGGAGGGGTTGAAAGGAGCGTGGATAGTCTCCAGGGCAGATGCCTCCAGTGAGGTAAGTGCCAGCCAGGAAGGAAGCTTGGGGAACAGAGCAGTGCTGCTGAGCGTCTGCCTCCGAGGTTGCCTAACTTCGGGCCTCAGGAGCTGCCAAGACCTACGCTAGCGTTAACTGTTCTGCCCTTTCAGTTGCTTTCCCTGTCAGCAGGGACTGTTGGCTGCTCTACCTCATGTCTATTATCAAGTTACTACAACCTGAGAATTTCCAACAACAGAGAACAAAGTTGTCTGTGAAGATAAACATGATTGCAGTTAATGTGTGAATTGTAGAAGAAAACCTGTTCTATCCCAAATTGGCACCTGAGACAGCATGAACAATAAAGCAGAAACACCCCAAGACTTTTAGAGGCTGCTAGGTGCACTGCAGCATGAATTGAAGATGAGGGGTTTATGCTTCCCATGGAGCTCTAGGTGCCTAACTCACCCTTTCCAAACATTGCACTGTCTGAAGCTAAAGAGTATCTCTAACAAGAGAACACCCATTGTTTCAGGCTGTCCAGTCTCTAGAGAACAACAGTAAATCAGCAGATGAGAAGATCTAACTTACTGTTTGTGTGTATGTCTTAGTACTGGACAGATCATTATCTACAGTGGAACGTCTCTGAATACCCAGGAGTGAAGAATGTCCGTTTTCCTGATGGACTGATATGGAAGCCAGATATTCTTCTCTATAACAGGTAGTCACAATTTTTTCATGTGGGAATGGAGAGAAGATCATAGAATTACAGAATCACAGAATAGCCCAGGGTGGAAGGGATCTCAAAGATCAACTGGTCCGAGCTTTCATGGGAAAGGGGGCCTAGATGAGATTATCTAGCACCCTGTCCAATCGCAAAGATAAGGCAAAAATAACATAATCATCTCATCAAAATGCCTAGGCTTTTAAATACTTTTCCAAAACTTTCTAGGTTTTTGGAATACTGGAAAATTACCAGTCTCCTCTTTACGCAACAGAAGCTCATATTTGCAAATACTTTGTAAACAATGACACCCTCCCTACCACCAATTCTAGTTAGGTTTTGTGAGATGATTAGAAAACTGGTTGTGTTTTATTTATTTATTATCACAAATAGTGATAATTTCCTCTTAAATTATTTGTTTGGTCTAAACGCTTGCTGGTCAATTCAAATCTGACTTTTGACTGCTTGTGTAGTTTTAGTTTGGGTTTCACTAGAGGCAGTATATGTAAATGCCAGTAAGTACGTTTGCATTTTCCCATGTCCAGCTTTGGTGTCACTCTTTCTTCCTGCTACAAAAATAGCTAGAATATTTGCTGCTCTCCTCTCCAGACTATCTGTTCCGAGTAGGGCTTATTTCAGGGACAGACAGATTGCCATCAATCCACTGCAGAACCTTTGGCTGACATTGAGAGGTTCTGTGGCTGCACCATTATATGGTAGTTCCCATTGCGGAATTTATTTAGTTTAAAAGGATAAAGCACTGAGAGCTGTCTGCTCTTTAACAACCTGCTTTTTTCTGCAGTTGTAGGCCTGCGTGCAGTTCCCCGGTACTGGAAAGCCCTTACATCTGCTTTGGGCGCGTTGCACTGCCTCTTTTGTGGTAGCCAGAGCACGATGCTATTTTTTTGCCCATGCAGATGACATGAACCTTTTGTCTTCCTAATGGCTTTTTTCCTCCATTTCTCTGCCATATGTTTACTAAGACGACAACCCTGCTGCGTTTATCAACCTGATTCCTCCTCCTCACTTCAGGAGCTGCTTTTTGTTGCAACAAGAGCTGGAGAATAGCTGTACCCAATATGTCAGCTGCAGTTATGCTCCCTGTTGCCATTTGATGATCACCTTTATGATCAATGTCACTGTCACAGGTGTTCTTGAATTGTAATGACGTGATAACAGCACCCAGTGACAGCATTTGTGAGCCACTTAGTACTTCTCTGTAGGGCCTACGTTACTGCTTTGCTTACAGCATACAGCACTGCTCCTCTCGAAGGTACAATTAATACTACGAGATTTGAGGTGATCTCCACTAGAGCTCACCATATTTACTGTAACGGCATGTCAAGATTACTTCTTGTTTCTGGTTTAGGCATGGCAATTAGCACTTCAGTTGTCCATACACCCGCCTAAAAAACCTTTCAAATGCTCTGTACACAAAACGGAGCAGCATGCAACCCGGACAGGTATTTTTGTGACATTAATCTTGCTTAATATATTTTTCAATGCAGATTTGTTCTCTTGAGCATTTATTCCTAACTACCTTGATTCTGTAAATGACAGCATTCTTGGGAGAACCTGACACATTCACTTCTATTCTTCTGCTGAATAACACACTGTGTATGCCATAAAATTGGTAGTCTACAACAGCAGTTTAGAGGTTTCCAAAAGAAAAAATTATGACAATATTCTTCGTCACATACATCACATACCTGAGAGAGACTTTCAGTATGTCTGAGGATTTATGCTTCAATATTTAAGTAATATCCAAAATGAAAGTGTAATTTTTTTTTAGAAATTAGTAATATTAATACATACATGCTAACTGTAGATGAAGTGCATTATAGAATGAGAAGGGGAACTTAATAACCTGAAAAACTGAAAATACTAGTTTTCTGTTAATATAGATTTTTGAATCTTGGGATTGTTAACTATGGCACAGTCATGAAGTAATTATGCTACAGTGTTTCTATTTGAACACATTTAATCTAAAATCTTATTCAGAGTTTAGTCAGAGAGCAAAGCTATTTAAAACAAATTCTTATTCCTGTATGAAAGTGCACTGGGAATTTAAGATGTTTTTTTGTAGTGACATATTTTGAAATAGAAGTTGTCAATTTCTATACACTTCACCAGGGACATGCATCTGCAGTGAAAAAGAAATTAATGAACTATAAATGCATTTTTGTTTTAATGAATGCATGTTTCACCACATCCTGAGTCCTTACACATGTTGCTGCAGCCTAGTATAGAGAAACTTGTGGCAGCTGTATTAAATTTTACAACCAGTCTATAGTGAAGAGAGTAGAGCCAGTTCATCTCTAGTTTTTCTGAGGGAATAAAATCTTGGGCTATGTACAAATTCCAGGATTGACTGTGTTAGTGTCATGTATGGCTCTCTTTCATTTTGTTACCTTTACTAAACTTACTAGAAGTGCGCATTCCTGGTGGTATTATTTTCCAAATGGCCACATAGTGTTCAGTACTTCATGGAATAACAAAAATTCTGGTAGTTACATCTTATTTTAAGAGTTTCATTTTTCCAGTTTTATGAACTGGAGATTCTGCAAATAGGTCTCAGTGGGATTATATCTGCGAGGTACAGCTTTGTCATCTCAAGGTAGTGCAGTCAATATCTGCTTTCAAGTGGTTGTACCCTGAAGAAGAAATGTAGCAGAAATGGGTTTCTATCACTACGTTTGAGTGCAAAGTCTCATCAAGCAAAGGCTTAGCTACTTGGTGCATTTCCAATTGAAGCACTGCAATTAAAAGCACAGAGTAGAAAAACACATATGCTCCTTTTTCAGAAAAAAGGATTTCATATTTGAGTCTACCTCTTGATACTCTTTTAAGAATGCGTCTTACGAAAGGCAGAGTCACACAGCAATGAAACCTAGGTTCCTTGATCACTTGTGTCCTTTTGAAAATGTTATTTTTGCCCATTACCAGAATGGCAGCAAGGTCTTAGAAGCAACTCTCTGGTGCTTAACTGCCCTCTGCTTGAGGGGAAGAGAACAGAATCTAGCCTAGGAGGCTAAGAACTTTATTTCTAGTCATTAATTTCCACTTTACAAGTAATTTGTGTGGCATGGATATTTTTACATCCTGATTTGACTACTTGTTCGAGTTTCGTCATGTAGCCCTTACTAATTTCAAGTCAAAGCAATTACTTCTCTATGTCTAATATAGAAGCCTGTTGCAGGACTTTAAGTCTGGTTCTCTAAGGAAATGAGACTTGTGCACGTGTGTGTGCACACCTGTGTGAATATATGTGTTTGTGTATGATCTTGCTTGCTGCCCCTTTCCTCAGTATCCTCTGAATCCAGTTCTGGCAAATTTAGCAGCATGATCAGTAGAGGTCTTAGCAATACCAGTTTCTTACACAAATGTCATGAAAACAGGCAGCCAAGATGAGGAAGGAGAACAATTAGTGCTCCAACTGGAAGAGAAGCTGCAACAGGAACTCAGAGAATCCAGCCATGAGCTGTGAAGCTGAAGGAGAGCAACCTACATTAGTTCAACCACCTTAGAATCGAATTGCCTTTTCCCCTCAAAGTACTAGAATCTGTTCATGCTACATACACAATATTTAGACTTTTCTGCTTGTCTTCAGCGTTCAAAATAAATAGTTGCAAAGATTTTCAACACTGTGAACCTGCTGCTCACTACAGGAAAAAGCACAGCTCCAGATGGGCAAATAATTATTTGGATTTATTTTTTTCTTCTCTGCACATTCCACAGACAAGTCCAGATATTTTTAGAAAGTAATTTCTTCAAATACATAAGGGGAAAATAAAATGCTAAGTAACAATGACTAAAATAACGATTGCTTTATTTTAGCGTCTGAGATACAAAATTTGCATCAGAATAGATCAAATATTGAAGTCCTCTTTTTTAAAAAGAGTATTTCAATACAGGTTTTCCTGCTGGAAAAATATACCACTTATTATAATTTATTTTCTGTTAGGATTATGAATATTTCACTTTCTCCTCATCTCAGATTATTCCTGTATTTTTCCGATGATGTTTTAGAAGGTGATGAGAAAACTTATGAGATACTAAACTACTAATAGGCAGAGAGACATCAGACTTGTCATGTTCAAACCATCCTAGAGACAACACAGGTGTTTAGAACAACAAAAGCACAGACTGCAGCAAAAAGCCAGGCCCTGAGGCTCTTGCGACCTCCTGTGCCCTGCCCCAGGGCGGCTGGCACTGCCTTTGCCTTTCATGCGAACCGTCCCTCCAAGGTGACCGTTTGGAAACTACAAGCAATACAACAAAGTCCAGCAGCCTGTGTCTCATTTTGCTTATCCTCTGCACAAATGAAAGCCCAAGAAAGGAGCCTACGTCTATAATCAGGACCAACAGCCATCAGATGTGAACTCAACATGGCAGTTCCTGAAATAATTTTGAGATGCAAAGATCATTCACTGCTAGTACCTTCCCAGTACATTCTGTGTAATTTAATCTCGACCTAGTTTCAATAACTATGACAATTTCTTGAATACCTAGGTACCGAACTTTAAAGGATGTATAAATCAGAATCTGGAATACCTTACCACAAAAACCTGCAGTAGGAAATAGGAACTGTGAAAGAGCACAATACTATATGTGTATATGTCCATTGCAATGCTAAATAATCTAAACATCTTTCACGGAGTGATTTAAGTCAGCAAACTTACTAAACTTTTCATAGGAAAGAGTCTTTATTTCATCATCTAAATATTTGAAAATAGGCTGTTTCCCATCTAGAAGTTCTTAAAATATTAATGCCTCGTAAATTTGTGGGTCTTAGATGCAGTCCAGATGTTCCTTGGCAGTAGCTGCCAATTCAAAATTTGAAGCACTCTCCAAGTAATATTATGATTCTTTTCTAGAGACGTGTAAGAACAGCACACCAGGGTGGTCCTGGCCAGCACCACTACACTGACACCTCTACTAGGATTTCTTTTTTTTGCAGAAGTCAGTTTGTGGGTTCTCAGGTAGACAAGGCTGGAGCTGCATTAAACAGTTTTACGTATGACATGTAGTAACGTTCACCCATGCAAAGGGGTAGGATGAGACACTGAGTATCCATCTCTTCAGTGTTCATTAACTGCTGTTAATGCAGACAGCAAGAGAACAGATTTCCCTGCACAGTTGCCTGCGAAGTTTTTAAAAAGTACTTACTTTCCAAATGGAAATGAATAGAGCCAAGGCACTGTAATGAACGCAGTGGGACAGGTGAGCAGTGAGAATGAGGTGGCTCACCTTCACTTACAGTTATTAATCAGGAACAAATCCAGTAGTTTCAGGCCAGTTACTCTGAGGCCACAGAAAAATGGTGACAGGAGAAAAGCTGTCAAGTTTTTGGGGAGAAATAATCCTTTTATGAAGAGCAGATTCGTCTCAGATATTCTTCAGCCAGTCAAAAAGCATATAACCCATTTTGTTTCTTCCCTACCCTAGTGCTGATGAAAGATTTGATGCTACATTTCACACTAACGTTTTAGTCAATTCTTCAGGACATTGCCAATATCTGCCACCAGGTAGGCTGTTTTCATATCATAAATTTTGATAACTCAGACTACTTATGCATGGTGTGGTTTCAAATTCTCTGATATTTTATTTATCTAGCTAGCATCATCTGATAGATTTAAGCCTAGATGCATTGTGCATTACATGGTGAACACTTTGATATGAAAACCACAATACAAGATACATATTTTACCACAATTATGTAAATTCTTCTGTCATAATGCACTCTTTCAGAAGTGTGAAAGTATAAAAGAAGGTAAAAAAATAAAAGCCCTTAATATGAAAATATATTGTTTATTAAAGCCATGGTAATGCCTCTTAATAAAATTTATTTAATTAATTTAGCTGTTTCTTCTATTAATACATTAACTTTACAATAAGATGCTTAGTAACAACTTGGATGTACCTTCTATTTGAAATGATTCACTGGATGCTTCATCAAAACAATTTTTAGTCTGAAAGTCAAGTAGTCTGTGATATTTATTTGATATCAGAAATATATCACTGACTCTCCTGATGTATAACAGTGGAGTACTGTTTCTGTTCCCAAACTCAATTAGCATAATTCTTAGAGTTAACTGTTCCTAGACTCTGAATTTTAGAAACTACAGCAATAGAGCCATGTGCTTTTCAGACAAATTAGTTTTTCCATCTAAGATTCCTAGAGAACTTCCAGGGTTTGCTTGCTTTTCTTTCGGTTTAAGATGTTCCATGTGGTGGGGGTTTTTCAATTCAGTTCGAAAGCTGCTAAATGACAGGGCCTGACTCAACAAGTGAAAAATAAGAAGTTAGCTTCCCCTCATGTAAATCTAATGAGACAGCAAATAATCTTTCAGGATATCTTATTTTACTCAGTAAAAGAAACAGGAGAAACAGACTGCATATTCTGCTTAATGTCTTTCTGAAATATAGTATCTAGAAATCTGAGTTCTTCTCTAAATATTCCCCCACTATGTGCCAAAATGGAAATTTGCTTCAAAAAATAGATTACAACATCAATACATTAATGGTGCAGTTCTTTCCCTTTTCTGTGACTGACTTTTGCTATTCACATATCAAGACACAACAGAGATTAAACACACTTTGCAAGTAAAAAACAGAGGGCACAATGTAGCACGAAGTCTGGTTACAAAATGTACGTGAAGTTATGTGGCACAAGGATTTAAATTAAATGTTCTTGTCTAAAATCCAATCTAGGCATATTTAAAAGCTCATGCTACATAGACGTGCGCTGGTTTCCCTTTGACGTTCAGAAGTGTAACCTGAAGTTTGGATCCTGGACTTATGGAGGCTGGTCCTTGGATTTACAAATGCAAGAAGCAGATATATCTGGCTATATTTCAAATGGAGAGTGGGATTTAGTAGGTAAGCTCTTGATTGCTTATTTACACTATAAACTTGCAGCCTTGGCTGCACTGCTGAAGTGGATGGAATAATGATTGGGAAATGAATACAGAAATTAAATTAATAAGTGACCTAGCTAGTGGCATTTGAAACTCTGAGACTAGATGCAAGATGAAAACCAACATTAAAAAGTAGGTGACAAAATTGCTGCTTGAATTTCAGTAAGTTATCTGATTTCCCTTTATTATCTGACAAAAATGACTTAATTGGGAATTAAGCTTAAAGAAGTAGTTTTACCTATAGTAAAACTTAGAAAGCTACATTTTTTTTAAATAATCACTACATAATATACAGTTTATTCACATAATTTCTGGTTTTCCTCCTTTTCCCTCCTACACAGGTGTTCCTGGGAAGAGAACTGAGAGTTTTTATGAATGTTGTAAAGAACCCTACCCAGATGTAACATTCACAGTAACTATGAGACGTAGGACTCTCTATTATGGACTCAATCTTCTTATTCCATGTGTACTGATATCTGCACTTGCTTTGTTAGTTTTTCTGCTTCCAGCAGACTCGGGAGAAAAGATCTCACTAGGTAAATCCTTAATAGGATACTGTAAATATGACCAAACCAAAAGAAGTTGTCCTTTTTAAAGTTTTCTAAGCAGTCTTAGTAGGCAAGGAGGAACAGCTTGTGTGCCCTGTTCTGGCTCATGAGCTGTTTTCACCGTTTGATGCTGAAGCTGTGTGATGTTTAACCCTTGCTCTCAGCACAGGGTACTCTGAAGTTGTGAAATGGAGAAATTTCAGCCAACCAAGCATTATTGGCATGACAGTTCTTGACTACCTTCCTTAAGAAGCAGGGTTTTATTTTTTGAAGCTTATTTGCTGAAGAAAAGTCCCACGATCACTGAGTAAAACTTAAGTTTACAACTGTGCATTTGAACATGGAATTCTTCTTACTGTTTCCTTTTAATAGTGAGTTGTATTAAGAGCCTAAGGTGCCTTCTCAGAAAGATTGATTCTAACTGCCACTATTCTAATTTTTATAGTGAATTTTAACTAAAGTATTGATTTGTGGAGCAACTCTGGTGACTTTAAGCACTTGATCCTTGAGGTGGAGGTTAAATATGTAATGAAACTTTTTGTCCCATGCAAAACTGCAAATAATGCACTGGCTTCTACTAAGTGAACATAGCTGTTAAAAATTCATGTTTCCTCAGAACGTAGTTTAATTGAGTAGTAGCTTCCCTAACCAAGAATTCTCTCTCTGTATTTTAAGATGAATTCTTTGTTCCCAAATCCTTTTCCACCTGACAATGACTCCTTATTGTTTCAGACTAGTTCTAGGAAAAGAGCTGAGCCTTGTTCCAGAAAGGTGGGAACTCATCACTGAGCAACAGAAGTCGAACTCCAAAAAATCAACAGTCAAGACTGCTTGGCCATAGCCACGTGCAGAACCCAACAGCTAATATCAAAAGATATCAAAGTCTGTCCAAGACAGTAAATCTGTTTTTCAGGAATATTATACATTACACCACCTGTAGCTTCCACGCCAATTAATCAAGTGTCATATGCTCAAGTACTCAAAATCACACCATGTTTCTAAAGCAAACAAGCAGCACCAATTACTTTGATTTACCTCAGCTAATTAGCAAATAGTGATAAAAGCTGAAGAGTTACAAGGATCTAAAAATATATATGTCTGTGCAACCACTGCTACCCTGAACTTGAGGTAGTACAAGAAAGGACAGGAGTACCACTAATGTGCTGGTGCGAGGGTAACAGTGGGAATGCATCTTGCAAAAAGCACTCCTTGAGATTCATTTTCTGCTTCTTACTGCCTTGTAATTACAAGCTACTGATCTAATATAATACTTCATGTTTATTTTTCAGGTATAACAGTTTTATTGTCTCTCACTGTCTTCATGTTACTTGTGGCTGAAATTATGCCAGCAACATCTGATTCTGTGCCCTTAATTGGTAAGCTAACTATAGATGTTATTCACTTCTATTTTTTTTTTTGTCAAATGAGGTGTAGTGACTTTGCATGAAGGCCAGCAGCAAGGCAAATTACCACCTATGCAATGGCCTACTGCAATTAAATTAGAAGAATGTTGTCAATTGATAAGAGGCTCTGATGGGTGCGATCCCCTATACAACTTCCATGCTCTCCACTCTGAAGAAAATGGAGACCCTATGTGTATTTTGGGAAGGCATAAGGGAGTTGCTTGTCCATGAAGGAAGTTGCTGCAGTTTCAACACAATTGCCCAGACATTAGGAATACAGAGCTAAACATGATTAAATCTTCCCATTGCAATCGTTAAAACAGAAAGAAGTGTTAGCTCATCTTTACAATACAGGTGAAGGAAAATTAGAGGGCTATCTTTTCCAAGGTTGCTTAGAAAAGGCAGGTGCTAAGGTCCAGAAAGAGAATGTAGACTAAACGCTGGCTGTCCTCTCAAAATAACAGCTGCTCTTTCTGCTTTTGAGAAATCTTTCATAATTACCTAAAGTAGCACCTGTATCACTATACTGGAAAGAGAAGTTTTAACACTGTGTATGCACGTATATAAATATCCCTTACAATAGCTACAAAGCAATATCAGCCAAATTATATTGCTGTAATTATCTGTTTATTTTGCAGCTCAGTATTTTGCCAGCACTATGATTATTGTTGGTCTTTCTGTTGTTGTCACTGTTATTGTTCTACAATACCATCATCATGATCCAGATGGGGGGAAAATGCCTAAATGGGTAAGGTTTGATTTTCATTCATTATCCATTGTGTAAATGTCCAGATCAGGGATCCGATAAAGTAGCTAGTGACCCATGTTTACTTCTTACTGTTAAAAACATAAATCCTTCCTAAATGTTTTGTTTTGAAAAGTAGTTTCAACGGAAATCGGATGTGCAGATACCTTTCCTGTGATCAGCTTGTCAGAGAGGGTGTGTGTGCAAGAAAGAGAACGAATATACCTCAACTTGCTTCTATATCCAGAATCTCCTTCACAACAGCTAGAAGCACCTCAGTATTTTGCTAAAATCTAAATATATAAATGAAGGTGATTGTCAAATAAGCTGCAGATGTCAGAAGTGAAACAGGTAGGAGGAAAGAGTAAGGTGCTGATGGAGATTATAATGCATGAAATAGCCTGGCCTCAAGGCGCAACTGTGCAGCTGCTACATATTTAGCTGCTGTGCATACAGAAACATCAATAGCCTAAAAACCACTTGTTAAAGGTGACTGTTAAAGTGGAAGTGAAAGTTGCTGTGAAAATCCTCACCTTTACATCTCTGGTCAAGAATGTCTGTAAAGTGCAAAGAACAGTTAAAGTATTTTTCTAAGCATCTAAGACTTTCTTTATAATGTACTTCTATGAGTGGTTGCTTTTACAAAGAACATTATGCTGATATTGGATTACTAAATACTGATGAGTATCATCAGCTAACCATCCACATTTCCTGATTTTATCCAGCTCATGACAGCATCAGGCATTACTGAAGATGGAAAGACCTTTCTTTTTTTTTTTTTTCCTCTCCAGAACAATAAGTTATTATCCTTACTAGCCAAAAAGAATGGCCTACAGCAGTGCCCTGTGGACAAGAGAAAATGAGATATTCCCTGGCCTATTCTGGGGCAGTGACTTTAAAATAAATTTCAATTAAGAGAATAAAATGTGTATATATCTTCAGACGCATGTTTGATGACCTAAAGGGGACAAATGTTTAGTACTGAGCCAAACATCCTCAGAAAACAGAGTACTTGAGGTTGAGGAGCGAGCTTTAGTGTTGAGAAGCTGTAGTCCATTAAACATTATTTGGATACTGGTGGATTTTGGATCAGGCCCTCAATTAATGAAATATTATCCTTCTTGGTGAAGCTCGATAGTGTAAATAGAGTAACAGGGCAAGATCTGTCTCTGGTTGAGATATTTGTCTGGATATAATATATACTGAGTGGCAATCCACAGTCAGAATAAATGGATCAAATCTAATATTAATTACAGTGTAAGATTTGCATATTAGATGAGACAATAATATTTCATTAGTGCTCTGGAACAGAAACACTGGAACAAGCTCTTAAAATCTGACTGAAATATTACAGAAGCTTGCATCTTAACTGAGACAGTCTCTGGCTTGCCTGCACTTTCTGTAAGGCCCCATTAAGGCAATGCGGAAAACAATAAAATTATACACATCAATTAAATTTGCAAAGTTTTGGGTTTTGGTGTTTTTTTGGGGGTTTTTTTTTGTTTTTTTTTTAAATCAAAGTAGTTTTTCCATCTTTTCTCCATGCTATATCCAGATCTGTTTTCTAAAATCTGCAATCAGCTGTCATGAAAGTAATGTGAGAATAGAGCCAAAACATTGTAAAGCTTGGTGGTCCAGTCTGGTCCAGACTAGCATATGTTTTAGCAGCCCCCTCCAAACAGTGGCGCCATGTGAATTTCATATTAGAGCACAAATATGAGTGAAACAATTGTAATTTATTGACTGTAATCTAAAGCAGCACTATTAAGACTATTAAATAGTAACTTCTTCAGTAAGTGGGTGTTTTTTTTTTTAAATTCATGGTTTCTAGTAAAGGTGGAAAAGGTTGCCATATCACTGTTCAAGCGTATGGAAAAATCAACACTCCAGAGACTCCTATCAGAGAAGGGGGAACTCCCAGTCGTGATAGTCAGCCTGAGGCAATCTGAGCACTGCTAGAATAAGAAAGCAGCCTCAGTGACTGGCAAATTAATCAGTTGGAAAACTCTGGCATCATTTTCTAGAGCTCCTGTGCAGACTAAGCAGAGACCATGGACCAGGCAGTCGCCCTGGCTGCAAAAGTACCAATAGCGCCCAAAGACAGTGGCTGTGTGAAGAGACACTTATTCTCAAAAATTTTCTTTCAGACAAGAATCATCCTTCTCAACTGGTGTGCTTGGTTTCTGAGGATGAAAAGACCAGGGGAAGATAAAGTGCGTCCCGCCTGTCAACATAAACAGCGTCGATGTAGCCTGTCAAGCGTGGAGATGAACACCGTGAGTGGACAGCAATCCAGTAATGGGAATATGCTATACATTGGGTTTAGGGGGCTGGAAGGGGTTCACTGCACACCTACCACTGATTCAGGGGTGATCTGCGGGAGGATGACCTGCTCACCAACAGATGAAGAAAACCTGCTGCACAGCGGCCACCCCTCTGAAGGTGACCCAGATTTGGCTAAGATCTTGGAAGAGGTCAGGTACATTGCAAACCGATTCAGAGACCAGGACGAAGAGGAAGCCATTTGCAATGAATGGAAGTTTGCGGCCTCTGTAGTGGATCGGCTCTGCTTGATGGCTTTTTCAGTCTTCACAATCATTTGTACAATTGGTATTTTAATGTCAGCACCAAACTTTGTGGAGGCTGTGTCTAAAGATTTTGCTTAACTCCTAACTACAATCTGATTCTCTGAAGTATGATATGTAGCAAATGAGAATGTGTTTTTTGTTTGGTTGCTTGTTTTTAATGAGTATACTGCTTCTCATTGTCTGCTTTCTTTCGCTCCGCTCTCTGGTCCCGCGTTCCTTTCAGAAGAGTGGCACCATTTCAGAAGGGATTTGTCCCTGGGCTGCCTGTGCGCAGCTCCTGTGAGCTTCTGTGGGAGATGCAAAGTGACGCGAGTCCCTTCAGAATGACAGGGTATTGCACCACCATCTCTTACACATTCTTGAACTGGCTATTACAAAGTAACAGGTAGGCAATGCCAGAAGTGTCACTTCTTCCAGGCTTTGTTATAAAAGATAGAAGGTGATCCATCCTATTTGACTGAGTGATTGTAAACACTTATGTTTAGGAGAGGGTTAAATCCAAACAGATGGAAGCTCAAACAGCAGAGAGAAAAGGGAAAAATAGGCTGCTTTTCAGTTACTGCTTCTTACTGAGTTGTGGTATGTAGCTCTCCAGCTCACTCATAACCCGTCAGACCCCTAACTCCCTCCCTGCATTTTACACAGACCATATGTGACTTCACAGGATTCTGAATTTGTCCGAGATGCTAGGAACCTGAACGTTAAGATGATACACCACATAACTTGTCCTTCTATATCTTTCTCAATTTGACCTAGAAGTTTGGCCTGAATTCTTAAACAGGCTTCACAGTAATTTTTCCAGTCTTTATTACTTCTTCCTTCTCCCTAGAAAGACATTCTTTCAACTGATGACCTTTTTAACTATCAAAATGAAAATGAAGGACTTACGATGCCTTTACCCTCACTTGTTTAAAAAAAATAAAAATACACACACTTGTCTCTTTAGAGTTAACTGGATTCCAATGTGGAAAAATGAACTCAGTGTCTTGCACAGGCTTAAGGATAAATGAAGATTCTAAAGCAAAAAGAAACCATTAAATCCTGAGATCAAGGTGTTAATTTAAAAATTAAATGTTTGATCTGTTGTGTGCTTAGCCTTTTATAGACCTCCTTCTGTTGAGTCACCATAACTTGTTTTTACAAGAAAACTGCACCTTTTCTGCTCAGTTTATCATCTGATGAGCACTAATGTATAATAAAGCTTTCTTGGGTCTGATACAAACTATGAACTGTATAAATATATATTTAATGTATACACACTGCATATATGTTCAAGGAAAGGTTAAGATTTAAATACAAATTCTTTTAAGTCTAGACAGACATTTGCAAAGGCAAAACTTAAAGTTCATCGCTTTATGTTATTTCTGATTCCGAAATTCTCCCATCAAAATATGGTTAGTTTTCATGTGACTTCGATGTCTTAATGAAAAGGGCTGAACCAAGAAGACCAGGACCTGAAACTTTCTGCATACAAACCAGTTGAGAATCAGTCTTTTGATAATATGTCAGTATTCCTGACCAATGATATAGAATCATAGAATTGTTAGGGTTGGAAGGGACCTTAAAGATCATCTAGTTCCAAACCCCTGCCATGGGCAGAGAAATCCTCCACTACACCAGGTTGCCCAAAGCCTCAGCTAACCTGGCCTTGAACACTTCCAGGGATGGGGCATCCACAACTTCTCTGGGCAACCTGTTCCAGTGCCTCACCACCCTCAATGTAAAAAATTTCTTCCTTATATCTAATCTAAATCTGCCCTCTTTCAGTTTAAAGCCATTGCCCTTTGTCCTATCACTACACGCCCTTGTAAAAAGTCCCTCTCCAGCTTTCCTGTGGCCCCGTTTAGGTACTGGAAAGCTGCTATAAGATCACCCCGGAGCCTTCTCTTCTTCAGGCTGAACAGCCCCAACTTTCTCAGCCTGTCTTCGTAGCAGAAGTGCTCCAGCCCTCTGATCATCTTCGTGGCCTCCTCTAGACTCGCTCCAGTAGCTCCATGTCCTTCTTATGTTGGGAACTCCAGAGCTGAACACAGTAGTCCAGGTGGGGTCTCACGAGAGCTGAGTAGAGGGGCAGAATCCCTTCCCTCGACCTGCTGGCCACGATATAAGTGGTAAAAGATATGGGGGAGGATTACTTTAGCATCGACTGCTTGCTTTATCCTACAGAATCCCAACTTTTTAGCTGAGGTCTTCAGAGACATTAATGGAGACCTGTTGTTGTACCATGTTTTTACTGTGAAATAAACTCAAGGACTCAGTTTCTCTCTTAAGATGGATTAAAATAAAGTGATTGAAATGCTAATTCTCCCTAGGTAACAATTTCCTTTTCAGAGTCTGCTCCCCCGAAAGCAAGAGAATCACATTTCATGTAAACCAAATTCAGCACAGGTACAGTCCGTCACCTGAGAAAACACCTTGCTCAAGCACCTTCATGCCAGAGAAAAGGGCAGGCAGGGTGAAAGGAAGGCAGGACATTTCTCATCGTTTGTGAATTCTGTCTTCCTGATGGTTCATTCAGAATCTCACACTGCAAAGACATGAGCAAAGCATTCAAATCCTTCTTGAAAGTTCATCTTGAAACCGTGTCTCAGAGTTATCTGCGAAGAAGTTATATTTTCAGGAAGAATTATTAAGAATCAGCCATGCAATAACTCCTGCACACAGTTTCTAGTTTGTAGATTGCATATGAATAGGAAACTATGAGTCCAAAATCTGAAACATGAGTTTTGTTCATTTGTGAATAACTACACACATCATGCAGCACGTGCTGCTCTTCTGAGTAAAGTTTCTAGACTAGGCTTCCCAATGTGAATGTTGGTTTGCATTGATATTTTTTCCTTCTGCAGGTACCCCTAAGTAGCTACCTAGAATGTTCTATTTAGTCTTTGTAAAGTTTTGGGGTCCTCTTGTAGAAGAATTTTTCAGGAAGACATGAAGACCTTTGGGGACTACCTTGTACAATGGGACATAACTATTGCAATCATAATACATGACGCACGTAATATAGGAAGCATGAGAGTACCCGTCTTTCCACCAGAATTCGTTTGCAGTATCTGTAGAAATCATCTTGCTAAATACAGGAGTCCTTTACAGAAGAACGGAGAATCTGTCACACAGAGCCAAATTGCAACTCACAACTTGACAGTAAACTTCATTATCAATGACAGACATGCCTATGCTTAAAATCTGGAGACTGGTATTTGGCCTTTATTGAAGTCCTGCCAAAGTCCGTAACACCGGGTTTGTAATGCTGTCAGCGAAGACCAGGCATTAGACAAAGTAGCTGTAAGACACCAGCATCCCACCTACTACCGCTGCCTACTGTAAGCCACCCACCACCACCTACACTGCTGCCTTTATTGTTGGCAGGATTAATGAAAAGGCACCAAGGGGACAAGCGAATCCTAATTTTCCTACTGTTAACACAAGCTGTAAACATTTGGTAATAAGATTATTATAAATTTTATATACAACAGTGACAACTTCTCGGTTAGGTTATTTTGCATCTATGAGTTAAATTTTCCTATAACTGAGCTGAGCAAAATTGGTACGTTTCTTGTCAAATTGTGTATGTCTTAAATATATTTGTGTATGCGCTAAACAATATTTTGATCTAAATGCTGGGAAAAATATTTATTTACAATTCTGGGCATACAGATGGAAATTTAATACTGTATACAGTACGTGTATATAATATTAAAGACTACATATTGATGGTAAGGATCTGTTATAATCTTAAGAGTCCAGAGAGAAGATAAGCAAGTGGTTCACTACAACTAAGCTATGACTTGTCTGACAAATTCAAAAGCTCACTCTAGAGCTCAGCTGTCATGTACAATACTATGTGTGAACGATGTATATTACTTTTTCTGTTTTTATATTGAATTGTATTGAATATTTAAAAGACTTTTTAATATTTAAAAAACATTTATTTAAGTGTTAAATGCCAAAAAAGTTCCAAACAAAATTTTAAAAGGTTAGTTTTAAATACAGATAAATTATTTAAAAAGTATTTAAAATATTACATTATTTTATATAGGAATTGATAATACTATGTAAGACTTTTTTTAAAGGTTTCTTTAAATTCTCTTTACATTGTCTCTAGCTGCAGGATGTAATCTCAGTTCACCTGTGACAATTCAACTTCTCACCTTCTTTAACAAGAAAAGAAGGTAAACCAAAGTCCTGGATTTTCTCTCCTTTTGTTATACTATTTTTTACATTAGGAAACATTGCATAAAGGCCATTAGAAAGAGATGTTACATCTGTCAGGTACTGATTGTCATATAAGCAATTCAATACCTTTTCAGTCCAGTACAAATAAAAGATTTAGATCAAGAGACTTTTGATTCTTTCACATCTTGCGAAGGCGAAAATAAACTCAAGTGGTAGAAAACATGAATAGCCATAAAAGAAAGAAAAATGTCTTTGGATATATCAATCTGGGATGACAAAGGTCTTTAGTAATTAAAAATACATTCCTATTCTCCTAGCAAACCAGTCCCACATCAAACATATATTGCTTCAGTCTTACATGAACAATCAAAGTTAACTGAGAAGAACTGAAATAGCATAGATGTTTTGGACTGGCCTCGATGCCAGTATTAATTTACTTCTCGAAGTTTAACACAGAAGACAGAAACAAGAGAGAAAAAACAAATCCATACCAGCTGAATAAACTGATGGTTTTGCTAGCTTCAAATTTTGTTTGTTGGCTACTGATGAAACAATATCTAATCAACAGAACATCCCCCAGATGAGGAAAAAACATGTCAGTGTAGTTTTTTTGCAGACAGATGAGTTATATTGCCCACATGCTGAAACAGCTTCCTAAAAAGTTTTCTACCTTTAGAACATCCTGCTGAGCATGCACCAGTAGTAAAAATCAAGGGTTGCTGAACACAAGACTTTACTCTCCTATTGCTTCCACAAGCTTGTAAGGAACAGCTGATGAAGACCAGTTTGGCCAAGGTGAATGGACCAAGTCATACAAGCATGTAGCTGTTACTGAATCCAACCTGTGTCGGGGTAAGAGCTGCCACAGGTCACAGAGTCAGAAGTTCAGGTGAGGCTCATGCTGATGGCTGCACACTCTTCCAAGCCAGCATGCCTACCCTCTTCCAGAGTGCTGAGAAGCGGGACATATTACCTCAGACTTACTGTTATACTTCAACATGGTCGGACAGGTTTAGCTCAGCACACCCCAGACAGTTTCTTGGCACTGTGTATAAACCTACCATCACACATACTCCATCTCTGAAGCATTTGTGAACAGGGATTAAAATCAGACTGCTTCTGCTACCACTCTCGGGCATCTGGTTGGTTAATATGTAGACTGAAAGCTGCCATGGTTTAGGAGTTTATCCATGAGCAGATCCAATGCCATTGTCCTGTGGTGGCAATGTCCATCAGAGCACAGGGTCTTGTGGCAACAGGGAGTA